CTAAATATTCTTTCAATGACATCGCACAAGGAAGAACATCTTTTGTTAAACATTTTTTTCTTGCCCCGAACAATATTATTGGAACTTTCAAAATCAAGAATGTGATATTTCGTATCAGGAAATGACTTTAGAAACCTTCTTTGCAAGGGGTATTCAACATCGACCAAATAATATTCATCTGACCAAATTCATGTAGCACATATTAGAATCACCAAATTAGCTACTAACAGAGTATTCTATAAACAAGCAACGATCATAAATAAACTTGGAAAAACAAATAACAAATTGTACGACGAAAAAACAAAAATCCAAAGTAACATTAACATTATCCCCAAAAAAAAAACAACTATCCAAAGCAAAAGTCAAATTCTCCTAATGGAAAACAAATACAAAAGTAATGCGGAAAAAAATTTCATGTAGGCGACCCCACTTAGTGGGATAAAGGCTTGTTGTTGATGTATTATTGATATTAGATATTTTTAATTAATATTTAGTTATTAATTAAAAAATTGTTAATTAATTTAAAATTAATTTTGATGAAAGTTTTTCTTAATTATTATTTTTTAGTTTATGAAAGAAATTAAATAATATAAATTTAAATTACAAACTATACTAAGTTGTTTGAATTATTATTTTTTTAGTTAAATAAAATTAGTAATCTAAAACCCTACTCTTCTTCCATCCTCCACCACAACCATTATAGCAAGCCACGAATACATCAATGGCTCTACGCCAATGATAGTCAGCAGGAAACCACGGTGGAAATCACAACTTCTTAAACCTATAAACACACTTTACGCATTCTTCATAGCAAAGTCACCTACTGCCGTCCTCCTTACCCTCTTCTTCTCTTCCTCTCTTCCACCGTCTCTCCCCCTCATAACCTTGATCTGTTCCATGGCAGACTGGTTTGTTGGCTCAATCATGGATAAGGTCATCAACGCTTGCTTCGATTACCTGCAAGATCAATATAGATGGCGGACGGGCATGAAGGAGGTGTTGGATTAATTTTGGGACTACAATGTAATTAATAAATGTGTTGGGTCATCATTAAATAAGTCAAAATTATTGTGGTCTAATTTAGAATTAAGTTTATGACTTTGGGCACATTTGTCATGATATTATAGTGTGGATACCACAAGTGCAAATTCTAATTTGATGAGTGGCAGAATTAGAATTAAGCAAAACTTTTTTGTAACCGCCTGGTAGTTACTTTAAAGGGTGATGATCCCCAATTTGCAGAGAGACACATCCCTTTTCTTGCACCCCATCAACAAGAAACTAAGGAAACTCTGGAAAATCTGCAGATTGGAAGATCATATCTTGTGCAATCTATCTAATGGATTCTGGTACGCTTCCGCTAATCTATGGTTTATTTCTCTCGAAATTGAATGTGATTTTCTTTAGTTCTAACAATTGGTATCAGAGCTAATTTACGTTCAGTTTTTTCTTGAGAAAATTTTTTTCTTTTCAATTTTTTGGCCTTTAACCATTATTGTTCACCGATTATGAAGTCATAAATTTGCGATTAATGATGGCTTGTATATATTGTTTGGTTTGTTCGTTTTTTGATATGTTTGGTATATCAAATTCGTCGGAATCATTTTTTTTTGTTGTATAAATAAGAGTTAGAAATCATCTAGAAATTAGATTTCTAACAACTTTGGGGTTTGAAGGCTTCCTTTTGATGGAGATGCGGGGTAAAAATGGCTTTGAAACCGTTGGGTTTTGATTTGGATTTGAACTGGGTCATTTGACCCGTCTGGAGGTTGAAGACAACCAGAAACGACATGTCATTTCTACGGCGTAAGTAAACGACATGTAGTTTTCTGTATTAAAAAAAAATTAAAAAAAAATGTTCAATTAAATTCGAATTATTGGTACTTTATAAATTTGTTCATCATTTTTTAATGAGCTAATTGAAACATGATGTTGCCAAAGTGACCTCTCTTGTGTAGATAGTTCGTGACGAATGTTGGATGTTGTGTGTGTGTGAGTTCATGCGTGTATTGATCGGCCCAAAGGAAAATTAATACTTGGCTGACCTGCATACACACTTGTGA